AGAGAGAGAGAAAGTACATTTTGTATATTTAGTTACGATAATGCACATTATACCTGCGTTCGTTTACAACGCTCGCGAGGTCTGGACCAAATTGCGAATTTCAAGTTTTAAGCGAGAAAGACGACTAAGATTTGAAATTTAACCCAAGAATGCGTTTGCGAAAAATATGTTGTGAATCGCGAGCCTATCGTCAATGTCGCAAACGAAGATAAATGTTTTTAAACGATCGAATGGAGTGAAAAAGTGATTTGTAGTGCCAAAAGTAGCGACTGCAGCTTCCCACGTGATAAAATGTGCATAGTCGATTATTCTATGTACGAAGTCATTCGGGACTCCTATGCAGGTGCTTGTCTAGTTAGTAAGTATATCTGACCATGGTTGTGCCAGACTATTATTTATTATTTTAATTTGTTAATTATTGTTACTCAAATATGCGAAAAGATCACTAAGATGTTGTACATTGAACTTAGCGAGGAAATGCAGATAATTCTCTTTCATTCTCTACACGATACTTAATTTAGGTCGAAGAAAAATACTTCGAATATCCGTTCGATTTCTTCTAAGAATAATTCTAACTCGCATTTATTTCCATAAACAGAACAGAAACATTCAGAAATTATTCAATTTGAAAGTGCGACTTTTACTTTTCATTAAATATCCAGTTTGCGCGAAAGAAATGTGTCCTAGCAATCACAAGTCGTACTCCAGATGTATCAGAATGAAGAGTATTTCCTTGTAATTCACTATTAGATGAATGATTAGAATGTAGAAGCAAAGAATAATGTATGTCGCAATTATTATTCCGATTATTTATACCAAACTGTGCATTATTATTATCGCAATCCAAAGAAAGGCTCTAACATCGTTTTATTATTCTGCCATTTGACCAACCGTGAAAATTGCTGACGATATATATTTAAGATACATTTTACATTCCACTCAACTAAATTCTTAACTCGTTAGATTGTACATTTATTACGTCAAATATATTGTCGCATTATGTGCGATAATGCTATCCGATTGTAAATACGCACTGCGTGGAAAGATATTAAATAATTTATTATATTCGTTTATTCAACGATACGATATTTATCAACATAATTAGGAAAAAAATATAAAGAACATAGTTAAACCTGAGCAGATTGTTTTCGATTATTTAAATTACTTTATCATCTATGATTCATTATTAAATCTCAGTAATCAGTAGAATCTAGACGGAAAGAAGAGAGATAATTGATAAAACAGTTAGATTAATTGTTACATCCAAATTCCCGAAAGAAAGGATTTAAAAAATATTTGAAATTAAATAAAAGAACGCTTCGCGAGATGTTTTGTGAGTAATCGTTCACGGGTGTTATATAAGTTCAAGGAAGCTAGAATCATATGAAGAGAAATTTAATATTAAATTTAATATTAAAATAAAAGATTCCGTCTAGAGATAATAAGATAATAATAAGTACAATACAGGAAGAAACAAACAAACTAATTATATGTGTGATTATGTTAAAAAGAAAAAGGAAAGATGGGTTAGATAGTTTATTCTGCGACGAAAGAGACGAAAAAAAAAGAAATTCTACCGAGAATATGGAATTCGCGGGAGATGTATATTGTTATATATAATAATAAGGAGAAGAAAGTAGATCGAATAATAGAGAGAATTTAGATACTCACTTAGATGAGTAGATGGAAAATGTTAAATGAAGAATCTCATTAGTGAGGAGGATGGAAGAATAATTGGATTCAGGAAAATAGCAGAGAAAAAGGAATTTCGCGAATTGTTTGAAAAGAAGAAATTGGCGGATAACTTGTGGAGCTGGTCTAGATAATTTTTACAAACTGCGTATGTTTTCTTGAAGTCGCGTGATAATAAAAGAAGGCATCTAATAAGAAATAAGAGAGATCTATGTTAAATCTGATGATCATGTGATATTTTTATTGCTATGGCTCTTCTGACAAGTCTAGCCGTTCAATTTCCTATAAAAATTTTCCGTAGACGTTGAACGAATTCCAAGTGGGCGAATTACAAGTGGAAACTGTAGGAGTAACAATGTTATTCCTTAAAATAAAATAATAAACAAAAAGAAAGAAAGGCAGAATGAGCAATGAAATTGTGACTTGCTTTCTTGAATGAATCTGCTATTGATACTATCAAAAATGATCCAGAACGATCTCATTCAATAAGTAAACAATATGGATGACAGCGTAACTGACCGTAAGTGACAGATTCTAATTTGAGGATTACATCCATTTTTATACTTTTTACAATAAAAAAATTATTAAAAACTTATTAAAAACTAAAAATTATTAAAAAAAATATCTTAAATCACATTTAAACATAGTACAAAAAAGTTTAGTCGCGATCTAAAATGCAGTTTTAAAAATTATAAAAACAGAATCAAAAATTATATAAATAAATGTATAAGAAATGGAATGTGCTCTAATTAAAATGTAATTAAGAAATAATAACAAAAATTTCAATTTTTTAATATAAGTATTTTAAATATTTACGATTATTTATGTAAAGTTTCGTTGAAATGTTGTAGAGATTAGTTGATCTGTAAATAAAAATTTAATTTTATCACTTTGAATCACTCGTTTTATTTGTACTCTTAATAAAAATTTAATTTTTTACAGAACAATTTGTCTCTGCATTATAATAAAATTTTATATAAATTATTTTAAAATACTTGTATAAAAAATTGAAATTTTTGTCATTATTTCTTAATTACATTTCTATTAAAAGCGTATTTGTACTTTATATTTCATATTTAAATAACTTTTATTCAAATTCTAAAACGCCGTAAAATTTTTTTGTGTTAACTTTAAATACGATGTAGAATAATCTATAATTTTTCACAATTTTTTTATTGTAAATAAAAATAGATATATATCCTTAACTAACTGATTGAACCGAATGATTTGATTCAATTTACTAAACTGAGTAGAACTGAATTGAGTTAAATCATGAGCTCTCACTCGAATTAGTTCTTTATCAAAATCTTTTAGAAGAGTGAATCTTTGATTTTAAGAGTTAAATTGTTTAATTCTTAACGAATTAAAGTTAGTTGTTGTTCCAAGTTGTTAGGAATTCTGTCTATCCTGCATAAAGTTCTCTTATAGAAAGTTTCTAATAATAAGACTAATGATAATTTGATGTCATCCTAAATCTTAAAAAGGTGGAAAGATTTATTAGCGTATTGTATACACAAAAATCTATCGCTAGATTTTACAATTTTTCGCATAGATTTTTTTAACTCGAGAGATCCTGTTAGCAGATATGTCTGCGATGTCATGTTACGGATTCTAAAAGTCCATTTGTCCGTTTGCATAGATTGCAACATGCAAAACGTAGTTCGCATTAGAGAATGCAGAAAATATATTGACATATCTATATGAATACGTGAATATGCCGCACCTAATCGCATCGTCAACGTTACTAGACGTAACGTAACATATAACATGGTTATATTAAATTTATTTTAAAAAGCTTGCTCTAAAAAGAGCAAGAAAAGAAAAATGTTTTCTTCAAAAATTTCTTTAAAAAAATAATTTATATAAAGAAATAATTTATATATAGTTAAAAATAATTCGCTAATGTGTCACGAATTTTAACATTTTTATAGCGATGATAAATCTAATCCTTAATTCTAGTTAAATATTATTTAATATTTACTTCTATCAATGTATTATAGATTAACTTTAATCTTGGTTAATTTACTTTTTATTTTTTCTAATTTTTTAAAATTAAAAGGAGATAAAAAAATAAGTTAAATCGCAACAAAGAGATTAAACTGGATTAATAGTCTTTCTCCGCTCAATTAGAAAATACTATATGTTTGTTTAATAGTTTCTTTCGCATTCGATTATTTATCCAGACTGAACCAGCCGTGCAAACATTTAGGCACTGGTCCGGGTGTGTCAAAAGTAGCCCTCGCGATTTCTGTAAATGTCACAGCGTCCAAGATTAACAGGCCGACTTGGGTCTCTCTTTCCGTCCAGACAAGCGAACTCACGACTACGCCATCGTCCTCGTTCTAGACATTAAAAGAGCGAATATAATTTGACATACTCTTATTTTTCGCAATTTTGTTAATACCTTTCCATTGGGATCCGGCACGAAAATTGGCTCGCTAGGGTAAACACCTTTTTCCGACCACATTTTCTTAGTCTTTCGAAGTGTGTCGACTTTGATGAGCTACAAATAAAATTTTATTTTATTTATACCGAATGAAACGCTTCAAAAGACTTCTTATGGCATTAAATTAGATGACATGTGCGCAGATTTTGCGTGCTATTTTAAAAATTCGTAAAATAAACTGACCGTCCCGGGATTATCGAGATCCATGTCGCAGGAGATTGCATAAAAGTATCGATATTCTCTACCGAGGTAGGAGTCCGTGTTTATCCGTGGAGTCTCGCAACCGACATCACAGAGAAGCTCGGGTTTCACTAAGATCCTGCCGTCGGGTAGTCGATGAGCAGACGATTTCTTCTGTAGAACGCTTCTGTGCTCCTTTCGCCAGTACTCGGCTTTGTCATTATATTTAACGTCGTCTTCATTGTCGTTGATCTTGTAATCCGTTTTACAATCAGATCCGCCATCGACATCACGGAACACTTTCAAGCTCTGATGCACCATCTTAATCGTGATGAGATTGCACTTTGGTGATGTATTCGGGCTCGGCTTTCCCATTGGAAGTACAAAACGCAGCGGCCTAGCGCGGAACAGCCTCGAATAATCTGCATCCCCATGCATATTCTGCGTTAACATAAATGTATCGTTAAAGTCGTTATAGGAAGATCATGCTTCAGTGCGATGACACTTTCTTGTGAATATCTTACCTTCATCGCATTGATGTACATATACTCCAACATCTTCGGGTTTCGATAACAACATATATCCAGCACGATGTACTCCCTATCACGAGTCTCAAACTGATTGATGATGTGGAGATAGAAAAAAGTCTCCGCAACGAATGTCGTCACCATCTGACCCGTCTCCCTTGAGATCACGTGGATAAGTGTCTGATAATAAAAGCATTGATTATAATTTATTAATAGGTGATTTAGGTTAATTAGCAATTTAATTTTATTAACAAATACCTACGTTTTCATCTTCATACCATTTGAATGTGTTTATCATCGGTTCTTGCTTGAAGTGGTTCATAGTCATCCTTGCGAAGGAAATCGCTAGTGGTTGTTCAACAATGATAAAGAAATTCTCGGTGATGCCAAAAGTGTGCATGTACGATGGATTCAATAACCACCTGCTAGGCACGCCGCCTACTATTGTCGCTTGATCAAACATGGAGAGTTCTTTTTCTTCTCCGGAATCATCTAAAATAATCACGTTCGAATTTACTAAAGTGCTCAATGTAAACATTTGAATTTATAATGATCTAAGGTATTGAATATGTACAATTTTTTTACGGGATTATAATGTCAAAAAAGGCTATGTTTTATTATATTTATTGAAAGTATATATATTTCTATGTTTAAAAATTTTTACATTAAAGTTCCAAAAAATTCTAGATTATTACAACAAATAATATCAATCAGTGCACGAAGACAAAATGAATTATAAACCCCATGTAATTCCGCTATGTGAATGTTTAGATACACATTCTGACTAGTAGCATTGATTTTTTTATTATGTTTTATTTATTAATACAAGATGCTACAAGATGTTTGAATGAATTCAAAATATGTATAAAGATTTAATATGTATAAAGAGAAACAACAATATGTGAAAAATAGCTCTCAAAATAATGTGTAGCGTAATCGAAATTGTGGCTTATTTGGCAATAACAATAGTAGTCATGATATAATAATGGAATTTGTTGCAAATATCAATCGGGCAAAGATCTCTAACGAAAAGGATAAATAACCATATTTACCGTATTAACCGTGACGCACAGAAACGTTTAAAAAAAGCTATTAGAAAACAGGACAAAAGAAAATTGAAGAAAATATATCTTGGAAATTTGTTTCCACAGTCCAGGCAATTTCTATAAATAGATACTATAAATATACATGATTGATATGTAGACATCGTATTGAATCTTTAACAGCGTTTTTTTCAAAACTTGATTTTCCAATTTTTTGCAATAATATTTTAAAAACTATGCATATCGATTTAGAATTTAAATATTGTCTATACACTGATTTTATCATCATTATATCACTTAATAGATAACTCTTTTAGATAATTTCTTTCATTCTAAAATATTAATATTTTTAATATAAAAAAATCAATTTTTAATGATAACACATGCTATTTTATTTAATTTTTACTTGCTTTGCAGAAGTTCAAGTATCCTGTACATTTTACAAGTAATTTTATATCGAGCAAAAGAAAGTTAGAAAAAGAGTAAAACGACGATTATGTTTAAAATACGGCTTGATCAATTTTATGATATAAAAATATTTTTTTATTCTCCATATAGTAAAAATAAATATTATTAAAAAATTTTCTTTGATACTATTTACTCTATTTTTTAAGAAAAATTGATAAAAATAAATATAATTTATAAATGTAATTTATTTTTGTTTCAAAATTAATATTTTCAAATTAATTTTTGTCGATTTTACTGTCTAATTTCTTATTTGTTTTTAAATAATTGCCCAAAATATTTTACAACTTTTAAAAAACTTAATTTATTTCTTTTACTGCAAAATAATTTTTTTTAATTTATAGCAATTAAATTAACTTTTTACTAACTTTGGATTTATTTTCTTATTTCAAATATTTTTTATTATATTATATTATTTTATTATATTATTTTTTTATTATAAAAAAGGAAAGAACGCTGCGCAAGCCACAGAAAAAATTTGTCATGTTTATGGAGAGGATGCTCTAACTAAACTAAAAAAGACAAACAGCAGCGAATTGGTTTCATCGATTTCGAGATGGAAATTTCGATGTCAAAGATACAGATCGTTCTGGTCGACCTAGAAAATGTCGAGGAAATCCTCCAAAAATTGAAGAAAATCATCATGTGAGCAGTTATAACATAGCTAAGGAATTAAACGTTGATCATAAAATCGTTTTGCAGCATTTGCGTAAGGCTGAATACATAAAGAAGCTCGATGTTTGGATGCCACATGATTTGATGGTAAAAAATTTAATAGATCGAATTTCCATTTGCGAATTGCTGTTGAAACGAAACGAAATTGAACTTTTTCTGAAAAAAAACTGATAACGGGATAACGAGATGAAAAGTGGATAACAATGTTCGATAATAATGTTCGAATGTATGATAATAATGTTCGAAAAAGATCGTGGTCGAAACGAGGCACTACAAACAATCGCAAAACCTAGATTGACACCAAAGAAGATGCTGTGTATCTGGTGGGGCTGGAAAGGAATCGTCCATTACGAACTATTGCCGCCAGGCAAAACAATTGATTCTGATCTTTACTGTCAACAACTAATGCAATTGGAGCAATCCATTCAGAAAAAGCGGCCAGAATTGATCAATGGAAAAGGCGTTGTCTTCCATCATGACGCTAGACCACACACAATTTTTATCTTTGATAACTCGACAAAAATTGAGAGAAAGCTTGGCTGGGAAATTTTGATGTATCCACCGTATAATCCTAACCTTGCACCGTCCGATTACCATTTGTTTCGGTCTTTGCAGAACTCCTGACTTCAAAAGAAGTCTGTGAATATCATTTATCTCGATTCTTTGCCGAGAAATCACAGAAGTTCTACACCGATGAAATAATGGTTCTACCCGAAAAATAGCAAAAGATCAAATGTCGATCAAAATGGCACATATTTGATTTAATAAAAAGTTTGTAAATAATTTAAAAAATATGTTTCAAAATATGTTTAATTATGCTTCAACTTATAAAAAGACTTTTTCCCTAATTCAATATATCACGAATATTTTAGGTTATTACAAAAAAATATGTATGTATATATATATATTACCAATGATCACGCGGCTAGGATAGAAGCACACAATATTATATCGAGGTCCCATCGGCGTTATACTTAGGCCCACATTATAAACCGTACCGTCGGTCATAACATGAGGATGTGAAGTGTGATTTACAATGTTGACATATTTTGACACATTTATCTGCAAAACACGAATGGAAAAATAATTTTAACAACTAGAATTTATTATTAATATAGCAACAAACTATTATTAGACTTTACAATTGGTATCAGAAAATGATAGTTAAAGTGTTTATTTAAATTTAAATCTAAAGTAAGAGATATTTAAAAAAAAAGCGTTTACCCTGCCCATCGTCTCTAAATTCTTCGGATCGATTCTATGCATCACTGGTGCTTCCGTGAACGTGTAATATTCGTCACCGAAGGGATATATCGAAATCATGGAATTGTCTGAGAGCGTTTGATTCGGATTGAATATCGCGGCAACTCTGAGAAATCAATTAGAAAATAATTTGAAAAAGAAAGAAAGATTTGCAAATATTGGAAATTCCATTAATCAGCCAAGATTATCTTTATTTTGTGTGTTATAATTATCTCTGCTCTCTTTTTTCTTCTGTTTACCTGCGAAATATAGTATGACAAGGATCCGGCGTTGCAGAGGTACCGAATTCATTGAAAACTATTCTCTGAGCTGCCATGTTTCTCTTGTACACTTCGGTCTCGACGAATCGTCGCTGATAGGTGACTTTTCCGTCTGCGATACCAAATCTACGCAGTTTATATTCACATTAATAAAAAGGAGTCGTCAGATTTTGTTAAATTTCCTGTAAAACACACTTATGCAGCAAGGCGGAGCTGTCGAAGAGATGCTGAAAGTGATATTCGCCCACTTTTAGATTGCCTGGACCGTTTCGCAGCAGAGTGCCCTTTAACCACTTGGGAATGTTACCGGTGATCTCTGTCGATTGTAGAGGTTCGATTACTTCTTTTTCGCAACTCCTCATCCATACCGAGGAGTCGCAATTGGTATAGTAATTCGCTTCGTGGTCGCCTCCCATATTATTCGGTATTTCATTTTTGTTTTTATCATGCTACAAAATAATATTAACAATATTAATTTTTAATAATTTTTAATATTAATATAATCATAATTTTAATATTAATTTTTTAAATAATTAATATTAATAGGCGAATTAACTTTGAGTAAATTATCTTTTGCATTGCAAGATATAATATTTGTTATTTAAATAAAGGACCATGCGAGGAGACTTACGTAAAATTCCGATTTCAACAACTTCCCACATTTTGCGTGTTCGAAATTATCTAAAACGTTTAATGTACGAGGTAACGAATTATCAAACGATGTTACGAGATACTTAACGCACTCCATAATCTATTTTCGTAGATATTTCGTAGATATTTTCGTAGAGATTAGTTCATTATTTAATTAATTCATTATTTAATGTGAATAATACGATTGTCACATGTGATATTTTAAATATTATCTTATGTTTATATAAAACACATTTACTTTTTTAAATCAATATATTTTATTATTTAAAAAACTGAAACTTTCAATTTCACCCAAGAATCTCCTATATCCAACACCGATCATGCCAATCGCTCGCAATGAGATACTCGAATAACCACAATTAAGTGTTTGGACAACTTTTACAATTAACTTTTACAATTAAAATTAAATTTATAATCGCGAGATTATAACTTTTACATATTTTTTAAAATTTTCATATAATGAAGAATATATTTTGATTATGCGTCCTCCTCTTCCTCTACTTCTTCCTCGTCGACGACAACGTTATCTTCAATTGCTGATTCCGACACGAGCGGTCTTAAGATCGAGAAGAGTATCTGATGTACTCTTACGTGGGTAAAATCCATCATTCGTGGTATACGTTCTAACAACGAGTGGCCTCGTGACGCATAGTTCTCCTGACCTTAAAAGCAACAATAGCCTTTGATGCTTTAATCCAATTTAACAAGCGACACCAGTTGATCGAAGCCTCTGTTCGGCATCCGCCTGTTGTATCGTGTTCACGTGAAAAATGTGACACGTGAATGTAAATCGGGCACGTGATCCACTTTCCGATTAGATTTAAAAATAATATTCAAAAATATTCAGATTTTCAAGGAAAAAAATTATGATGCTTTACATAAAATATTATAAACTATATTGTAGAAATTTAGAGATAGCGATAAAGTTCTTTTCGGATATTTGAAAATTCATTATGTATGTGAGGCCTCTTATACAGGCTGAATTGAAGAGCGCTTACTTTTTACATAAATTCAAAATGGGTTATTTTCTGATATGGATATTTTTTAATGAAATAAACTTTTTGTATATAGAAATGAGAGTGTGAAGAAATTTTCTTATCAACAATATTTATTTATATTAATCATGCAGATAGATTATATCTATAAAAAAAAATATTCTATACACAATTTGCAATTATAATGTTGTTTAATTAACTCAATTCTTTTTCTTTATTCTTTTTTCTTTGTAACATAATAATATATTCAAATTTTAAAAATAATATTATATATTAATAATACTAATTGGCTAATATATTTGCAACACGTAATTTTATGATAATGAATACACGTGAACACGAATATATATGTTTTATCTGTTCAAACGCTTGCAATTACAGACAAAACTGAATAATTAAAACTGAATAATTAAAAAATAATCAATTAGTACTTTTTAGCACAATAATTATTTTTAAAGAAGACCTTTCTACACACACACACACACATACACACACGCGCGCGCGCGCGCGCGCGCATACACGCACGCACGCACGCACGCACGCACAAAACACTTTACTCGCGAGTAAAATGCTTTTATTTCTTAAGGGAGAGAAAAACAGAATAGATAGAGTCTGACCGTGTTCCAATACACATGTATAAGAAGGCAAGATATGCGTTACGGCGGGGCCAGACCACGAACCACTAGTCGTGAAAATTTGTAATTACTATTTTTGCGAAAAATATCATCTCAACCAGGAATCGAACCTGAATCTCCTGCTTACTGGGCAAGCATCTTATTCTTTCGACTATAGAGACATATGATGATATTTATCGCAATAATGTGTTTAAAATAACATGTCACACTCCACTGACACACATATATTACATATTCATATATATATATACATGTATATTCTCGAATCCCCACAACCGATATTCCAGAGAGATGATGATCTTATTCTCTCGAAATCTAAAATCTGTAATATACATAATGTAAATTATAGGATTTTCAGTATTGGCATTTTTAATCTTGCATTTTCAATAGATATCTATTATTTATTCTTTTTTGTTTTTTCTCTGTTTCCGAGATAAATGATAGACTCTATCATCTATCTTTTGTTTATTTCCTTTGTTTATTGTCTTTTTGGCTCCTTCAGCGAGATGGAAGAGTGGAAACATTTAACTCGAGCAAAGTGTTAGACAGATCCGAAATAAGAAAATGACACATGTATAGATCTTTCTATGTTTACAAGACTCACTATTTTTTATGTTGGCCAAACAAAGAGATTTTTAAAAATAAGTATAAAAGAACATATGAACAACATCAAATACGACTGCACTAAACATACGGTCATCACATACGGAACATATTGCTTCATTAAAACATGAATTCGATTGGGAGAATATACGGGTTCTTAATCGTGAACCGAACTATCAAAAAAGATTGGTATCTAAGATGATTTTTATTAAAGAGCAGAGAGAGGGTATTAATTTAAATAAAGACACGGAATTATTCAACAAATCATATTTTGACATCCTTAGACAATTATCCATAACATAAATGTTTTATTTACCCTCTTCTCGCTAACTCCTTGTTATATATTTTATGAACGTTTCCTTCGTTTGGCCACAATGTCAAACTCAGTTCATTGTTAGTTTTTATTTTGTACACAGTCTTTGTCTTATTCCCTCGTAGAGTTCCGTTCTGTAACTAACATATATTGTGATGATATTATATTGTAATTTCCGACTTTTTCAACTTGCAACATTGGCGGTCTCCAAGGTATTGTAGTTGTTTGTCATAATTTTGGTCATTTTTATTATTACATCTCTTCTTATTTTTATATGTTGCCATTCTTGTCAATTATTTTCTTGATGTTGGTCAACTTTCACAAGTCATTATTTTCAATTGATTATTCAGGACCAATAATCGATCTCTTAATTATGACGTCGCATTGCATTATGATATAATATTATTTGCCTGGAGACTTTCCACGATGCAGTTACACAAGGTTTCTGATACAATATCGACTTCAGCGTCAATTTGTCGTATCACGAGTCAGAAATTTGGTTTTTCCGACTCTTATTTTATCATCGATGACTCCGCCAAATAATGTTTTATGTCCACATACAATTTTAATTTGTAACTATGATTTTTAATTTTATTTATACAATTTTTACCAACGGAATATCTTGTCCGAAAAAAATTTACGGAACATTCCTTACTTATTGATGCGTATTTGTTAAGATCGTTATGTTTCTTCAAGTCTTGTTTTTGATTAATTTTAATTTACATTGAAGATGACCTAATATAAGATCAAAACGACGTATATTGTTTATTAATTATGTATTTATTTTTCACTAATTATAAACACTATTTGCGTGAACATACTGTATTCGCTTACATATATGCTCCTGATCATTTATTTTTGAATTTAATAAGCGCCTTCTAGTATGAATTATAGATTTTTGATTTTATATATTATAAACGTAATAAATATCACCGTTATTTGATCTTGCCAACAAGATCACATCTATTCTCTTAAAGATTTTTACATAATTCAACAATAAACAATAATATAAATAAATAAAAGAAACCTAGATATTTATGTATAATCTTGTATGAACATTTTTTACATATAATAAATACAAAAATATAATTTAGAAAAATTTATCATATAAGTATACTTTTGCAGAAATAAATGTGAGCCTAATGAATCTCTTACACATAATCAACAATGTATCGAGTTTTTTTTCTTTCCACTTTCTCTTTTTTTTTTCTCTCATTTACTTACCGGAAACAAATTCTCGATATCATTTGAAGGTAGCATCTTAGTGTCTCTCATGTAGCAATTCTTGAACATTATGCAGAATACATGCGACGAACAACATACTTAGGACTGACGATGTTTTCCTTAGATCAAATTTATAACAGAATGTTGACTGAATTAACAAAGTCGTGGAAGCCTGCGCAGTAACGATCCGATTTACTCGCAATTTTGGATGCTAGCCAAAATTATTCACATTTTATTCTGCAATATTATGTATGTCTTATTACTGTCACGTACAAACTGCAGTCCGTATTTCTTTTTGAATAAAAATTAATCAATTTAATTCACGATTTAATAACAATACTAATTAAATGGTTTTTAGTTTTTTTAATAACAATGCTAATTAAAAGCTGTTAAGAACGAAGACAATGAAGAATATTGACTAGGACGTTTTAGAAACGTGGGATTAGTGAAGGAAAGAAAAATGAGAATAAGTGAGTGAATGAG